GAAGACACAAAAAGAAATGAATAGTTAAGTGTCTCTGAAGGTTTCTTAGTTTCTCTAAATAAATACTTCCAGTGTAATAAATATACTAAATATTTTGCTGACTTCAATGATCTTCATTGTATCGCGCAGCCCTTATTCCATCCATTACTGGGCTGACTGGGTAATAATAGCTATCCAGGAGAGGATGTTACAAAATCAAGTTTTGCATTCTGGAGCAGAGGTCGACAGTTTAATTGGAAGAGCAAATTGCGTTCACTTGTATCCCCACAGTGGATTGAGCCATGGGTAAAGCGAGTGTGCACACTGCGAACGTGTGCGCATTTAAAAAAGGAGAAGGAGAAGAATCCAAGAGTGTAGGGGTGGCTGAAAGCTCTCTGCGATGTACTTTGAGAGCCACACGTGCAACAGAGCAACAATTAGTACCACTGAAGTGTTGCTTTTACTCTTCCAAGAGTCTTTCACACAAACCAGGAATCTCTTCTGCTGCCTGCTACTGAATCACCCCAACTAATGCTGCCCATTTTTGGTTAGAAAACTGTAAATATTGACTTGGTGATGGCGGATACCATCTGTTGGTGTGAAAGTAAGCGGCTCCCTCCTCTCGTTCTGTCTGCTTTGCTTTTTGCTCTCCACCTCTCTTTCCCTCCATCTCTCTGCTGGCTCAGAGTCTGCAGAGAATATCCCGTCATTATAGTTCCCCTACAGCCACACTTACCCTTGCTGTGAAGACACTCTCTCATCTCTGATCTCTCTCTTTCTTTAAGCAGCAAACACAGTCAAATGAATATTACATCATCTGGAGCGGTTAGGGTTGAGGTCAGGTTAGGATCAGCTGTGTTTTATTTGAAGCCGATAATGATAGAGGGTTTAAGATGATTAAGGGTTTCAAGTAGAATGCATAACGACTAATGTATTTTTTGACTACAAAACATTAAGTTACGCCTAGATCAGACCCACCAGAGTTACTAAGGCGTAGGGAAACATTTTGAAGTTTGGAATCTTCTTCTTTGGATTGTTCCAAAACCCAAATCAGAAACGTTTCAAAACTTTCCCTTCTTCCTCTGACTTTTTATATTTTAAAATAAGCTGTTCCGCACATTTAAATGAACATGAAAGTGCTCTGGTTTTTCCATTTTCGAAGGTTCAATATTCTCTAACATTGCAATACATGTAAAGGCGCAGTTCCTTTGAAAGGGACACCTCCTCTGCCTGGATGCTGCCTCGAGTGACTGTCACTTCTATATTTTCAATGAATGTCAAGGTCTGAAACTGCCGCTGAGGTTAGGACAGTGTTTCAGGGCGCTGGATCCATGCAAACAGTCGCAACAGGAAATAATGTCGGTATGTTGACTGCTGCTGTTACTGGCAGGGTTCATGCATGACTGCTGCTGCCACTAATAGCACATTTTTTCATCGTTTGAAAATCCGATTAAGGTGATTCATTTGTGGTACCATTGAATCTATAACTGGATGAGCCTGCTGTTCTTAAGTACCACATACATGTCGGGATAAACGGAACAATGACCAAAAGGCTCAGAAACATGAACCGTGTCTGTTGCGAGCCATGTTATTCTTCATTGACTACGAAGAGGGGAACTCTGTTTCCGTTGGTCCTATCTTTGCTAACATGCAGCCACCTTAGGACCACATGGAAAACAGCAAGTAAGTGTTACGGTCACTGCCTCTTGTACTGAATTGGTCCTAGGCCTAGAACCACTACAAAACTGTGCCAAGTTATATAATGTTTTACAAATCCCAAAGGGAGAAGAGCCGATGATCAAAGGCTCGTCATGACCAATGACCTATTAATGTGGAAAGGCATATACAAATATCTGATATTTACAAATAGATGTGAGTTACGTGTCCTGTGGCATGTGAGAATTAAGAGAAGGCAGTGAAAGACAAAAATAAGCACAAATAAATAAAATTACGGAGAGAAGAGAAAGACCCTGTACTAAAAATATATTAGGGGAATAACTTGTGATATTACCTACAATGAATTGAACTGATGATAGGCATAAATACTACTGGATTTTTCTTAAAGAGCTGTTGAGTTATCTATGTGGCCATGTATCTATGGAAGTAGCAAGGAAATAACCGTGCTCTTCAGCAGGATAATCTCAGATGAATACTGTATTTACGACAATGTGTGAAATCTGTCTCTACACCGTGCTTTGTTTTATATATAGGTTTATTTATATATATATTTGCAAAGGCTTAAATCCCAATGTTCCTTCCAGAGGGAGGTTCACTCCAACATACACACACAACCTGAAACGTTTAGATTTGACTCCTTTGTTTGCTTCTGTAACACAGTGACGACGCTATGTATTACCCACGCTTCTATTGGCTAGTTCTCCAACACATTGTATTGATAGGCAAAGGGGCGGGTCATCTCCAAGTGGTTGACCAAGCACAACAGAACCAGCCAGCTAACCAATCAGAACAGACTGGGCTCTGGTTTCAGACAGAGGGTGAAAAGAGGTGCTGCAGCACAGGCAGTATGAGAAAAATAAAGAGCTGTTTAAACATTAAGGCATCTAAAGATGACAGTGATACTACACAATAGGGGCCCTTATAAAGCTTCTTAAGTGCTTTATTTTTGCCATCGCACTGATGTTCTCCCTGATATAGAAATAGTGTCATGTTACTGTTTAAAATGGAAAGTTGGTCACTTGTTGGATTCAAGCCATCTTCTGTTTTTTGGAACAATATCTTCCCTACAACAGTATTTTTAAAGAATGTTCTATTCATCGTTGTATGTCATATATTAAAGTAGTTACAGCATACTTGCAATGAAGCAAATAGAATTTGGGATAATGAGAGAGTAAACTTCTCTCTTCCTATAAAAGTGAAGCTTAAAGCATTTGAAAATGAATTGGACCCAGCCAACAGACAGCTACACATGTGCTACACATTACATTATTAATACACTACATTTTATCGAGAGCAATCACCTCTCAGTCCCATTACAGTTTGTAGCTTGGCATTAGGGAGCGTATAGCCGCACTAGCAGACCTGCGGCCTGCTTATCAATGAGTGATGTCTGGCTGTGGATCGGAGAATGCTGCACATCAGCCTTGTGTGAAAGATACGGTGAACAATTGCTCCTCTTGCTTTCATCATTCAGCACAAATCCAATAAAGTGTCAGTTGTTTCCAGCTCTCGATGCAACTTGTTTGCAGTGTTGAACACTTTGAAGGAAAAGGCAACCTATATTCACTGATGAGACCTCAGCGACGAGAGGCAAAATAAGAGCTGGAGAGCTAAAAATATAAGATGGAAGGGAAATCCTAGATATGTGTTGTTTTTTGGTTCCCCCTTGTTATTTTGTGTATCCAGAAACACATCAGATTACACACTGAGACATCATTACATAATTTCAGGAAGAGCTACAGGCAGGCGGAAGCCACATGTTTTGTACAGCATATACTTTAATATATTACCTTAAAGCAGGGGTCACCAACCTTTTTTAGGATGAGGGCTACTTTCAAAAAATAAAGCAAGTCGAGGGCTACTTTTACTCCTCTTTTTTTTGTTTTTTGCAGTGTATATATTTTATATTTATATATTATATGCTTACCTTTAACCTTTGTGTGCTGTTTGGGTCTGTGGGACCCGTTTTCAGTGTTTACTAAAAGAAAATGTATGCAATTTAATGATTTTAACCTGCTTTATTTGGGGGTGGACCTCACATCCTCTAGGGGGGCCTCACATCCTCCAGGGGGGATCTCACATCTTCTAGGGGGGTCCTAACCTCCTCTAAAAGATTTTTTTTAAATGTTGAAGTGAAATGCACCAATCTGCTGCACTTTGAGTATAAAATGAATTTATGGATACAGCTCTCAACACTCATATGAAAGGGAGCTGTATACTTTTCAATACTCCAATCATCTTTAGAATATTATCACAACCAATAACAAATCATTTAAACTGGTTTATTCTTATCTTATGTTACCTAATTAGCATTCTTTCTTTTTATTTATGCATATTTTACTAATCACTCCCCTTTTAAACTGTTTTTTGTATTGTCCTATAGTACACACTGGAATGACTTCTTACTTTATCTATATTAAATAGATAAAAGTGTGCTCTCCCTAGCTCTCTCGCTCGCTCTCTCTCTCTCTCTCTCCCTAGCTCTCTCGCTCGCTCACAGAGGGCTGTGTGCTCGTTGGGTCCTCGCGCTCCGTGCTCGGGCCCTAATAAACATATTTGTAAAGTGGGAGGACACAAACGGGATTTCGAAAAGTGGGGGGGACATGTCTCCCCTGTCCCCAGTGGAAATTACGCCATGCGTGTGTGTGCGTCAAGTGCAATAAATATGCAAGTTGCAACACACACACAAAAAACCCTCAAGTGTTGTATAGGCTGGCATGAATAGGCTGTGTTCAAGGGGCTGATGTGTAGATTCTGCCAGAAGGACTATCACGGTCAAACTCCTTATTAAGTGGTGAGGTGCCTCTCCACATTGCTTTTCTTCCAGACTGCAACGCTGGTCCCGGAAATCAAGCAAGAACGTGATTGGTCGATATTCATTGTGGGGGTGGGGGAGGAGGGGTGTTAGATAGATATAGAGTTGTAGTAAGTAGATAGAGTTCGCTATGATTTAGGTTTCGTTTATGCATAGGGTAGATTATTTTAATTACATTTCCTTTTTTGTTTTGGATTTGCTTGGCGAGCTATTTTTAGAACATGCCCGGTGGGCGACTCACGTTGCCCCTGCGGGCGACTGAGTGCCCGCGGGCACCGTGTTGGCTACCCCTGCCTTAAAGTAATTAATATGCAATCATGAACCGGATGCAACGGAATAAAAAACTCATATTGAAGAGGTATCCTGTTCTATACTTAATTCTGGGAACATATTTTTTAATCAAATCGCTACCAGATGGTAGCCAGCGGTGCTATGAGACAGTAACTGGGATTGAATAAAAGTAACCCATAACAAATGTAAAAGTGCTGTTATTTGCTGGAGTGACAGGCAGTTAACCCCAACAACTCACCAGTTCAGCATCAATAACGCTCAGTGGGAGAAGCTCATGTCTTGGCCTACAGAGACAAAAAAGGACATACAGTAAGAAGAGGAGAACATTTCATGAATCACGGAGTGTTGAATCTGGACTTATTTGGCTGGAGGTCTGAATCTCTGTTGTACAGTAGGAACCACACAGAGAGGCGAGCACATACCACATCCCGCTGCTCCCCTGCCAAGGAAAACATCAAGTAAATCACAATATCGACTAACAGCTTAACAACAGCCCTAGATTTCAGACTTTAACAATTAGGCAGACATAGGGAGGGCTGTGGTTCAACATGTTTTTGACATACTTCGCAACACTAGGCCTGTCAATCGGTGTCTGTCTGGACGTCTACATTATAGCTCTCTGTGAGGCCTTCAGACATCCACAAGTGACTGTCGAGCTTTGTAAAGAAGAATCTGCTCTGTGATCCCTGATAACCTCATCTAAACAAAGGGATAGATTTATTATTCCATTAAAACAATTTTTTTTTTTTTATTGCAAAACCTGCTATCTTTTTTTTTTTTTTCTGTCTTTTGTTCTTCTTGTGTGTCAGTCATCCACACCAATCAGAAGTGCTGTGCTCCACATGTGCCAGTCATTGTTAACCAATCAGAAGTGGCCCATGATAGTAGGTGATAGACAGATTAATCCAATCACCTGCCAAGTATTTTTGAAATACTTTTCCAAATGGCTTCCAATGGAGCTTTCCTAGATGGTGTGGTGAAACAAACCATCTGAGTCAGGTTAGTAATGCTCCATCACATGTTTTACATCTATTACAGGGTGAATCTTAAACTGAGGCTTGACTTTAAAGCAACCCAACGGAAGTTTAATGTAAGTTTAGTTCTTTCACTCGTAGCTCTGGCTGCGGGTGCTAGACACGTTGATACGACCTTCCTAGCCGGAGACATGGCCGCATTTTACAATAAACTTCCGTTGGGTCGCTTAAAAACAAATACCGCAAATCGAATCGCAATATCTGTCAGAAAAATCGCACTTAGATTATTTCCCCAAATCATGCAGCCCTAATGCATTTTAGGAGAATACAAAAAAATGAGCCCTTAAAATTATTCAAACATAATATAACCCAAAAACTAAAATCCTAATGGGCAACACAAAAGTACAACTAAGTATCCAAAGTAACTTTAGTCAGTACAACAGGCACATTTAAAAGAATATTAGCAGAGGTGGGAAGTTACGAAGTACATTTACTCAAGTACTGTACTTAAGTACAATTTTCAGGTACTTTTCTGCACAATGATTACTTTTAAAGTATATTTTGCTGATAGTACTTTGTATTTTCACTTAAGTAAGATTTGATATGCAGAACTTTTACTTGTAGTGGAGTATTTTGACAATTATATATTGGTACTTACAATTAAATCCATTCGTTACTTGTTCTACTGTCGGGTCCTGTGATACTGTATCAGCCCACCACCAGATTTCATTAAACGTCACACAGCGCACGTGCTTACCTAAGCAGCATGACATGCACATCATTTATTATCGCGCCGCGGTGAATGGAGACTTACAATGCAGGTCTTTACTCCTTCAATTCAAGACAGAAAGTGCCATATTTAGGGCTCTTATTTCAAATATTCAAAATATCATAACAATTTGAACTGTATCCACTAAGAGCAATGGCTCAGGGTGACAATTCGAGGAAATGATCTCGTTTGCTGGGGGTAGAAAATAAAACGAAATCAAAGGAATATTATAAAAAATAAATATTATAGCTGCTGTTTGTTATTTAAAATACAGCGAATGAACAGTATATTTGGTCACGTTTTTCACGTTAAGCCGCTATCTAGCCAACAACATTGTCACCCTTAAACTAGTAAACATTATTTCACTAAACTTCCCGGTTATACAGTCCATGGACGCACCATGCTTGAAGTTGGCGCTTAATGTCATTCCCTGCGTCCGTCAACAAAGGAGGCATGCTTCCAGCACCAAAACACAAGGCACATGTGTCTTCATGTAAGCGTCCAGGACAGTAAAACACATACAAACGTTACACGGAATCGTATTATTGAACAAAACAAACACGAACAAAGGCTGAATTCAACCCGAAACGAGTCATGTTAACGTTGTTTTAACAGCAAAATCGAGCGTTTTGAATGAAAGCAGCCACCATTCTTCACGGATAAAGGTTATAAATGACGGTCAGTTAGGTTTAGTTAGTTAACACTGTGTTAAATTGTCATAGTGAGATGTCCTACCTTATCATTACAGTGTGTGCAGGCGTGTTGTTTCTGATCGAGTCTGTCCTCTCTGATGATCAGCGGACACTACACTACATAGTTACCTTCAGGGACTACTCGGAAAAACTAGACTCCTACCGCAAAAACGAACACCCAACAGTTTTATTTCGACAATTAAATAAAATATGAATCGTTTAACAAAATTAAGTCAATTACAAATCCTGTACTGAATTATCAATTACATTTTTAGAAAAAAAATTGTTATCTTATCCATGCAGTCTATGCGAGCTAGCAACTGATAATAGATATATCATAAGCGGTAACTTCAAGTGTCCTGAATCAACTGTCCTGAACTCGCACATATGAAATTCCGAGTGTCCCTGAAGCAGAATCTGCATCAGAGGATGCGGACGGAATTTCATAGTAAGCCTTGATGTGCGGAGAAACTAAAATGTCATGACTTCCTTTATGTTTGCCAGTCTTCCTTCTATTTGCCCAATTCTGAAAACGTCTATGGAAATGAATACTGTTCTTATAAACCCATCAACATTGACAATGCGGAAAGGTGCATCAAATGCTGCAAACCATGTCTCTCAGTCAGTTATGAGTTATTGTTAAACACATTTCACATGAAATATCACATTGTGTAAGTACTTTTTTATCATGATATATAGTATTTTCTTGGAAAATCTTTCTTGCTCATTGATTTGCAACATTACAACCAGACATGAACAAAATATGTATAAATACTTTTAATAGGACACAACTTAAATCTTGATATCTGAAGAGATTTGAGAAAAACAGAAAAGAAAACAGCTGGAAGTAATTTGCTGTTCTGAGTTGGATTGCATTTTTGAGAAGTCTCTTCCTGACTCAGCAGGCCATATTTTTGGACCAAGATAAAGCGTATATAAGACCATTACTACAAACAGCTAAAAAACGAAATGTCCTCAATAATTTGAAAAGAATTACCTGCTTTTTGAATATTTCCAAAAAAGAACAAAGGGAAATAAGTTCCAAAGTTGCATGATGCAATATCTGATGAAAAGATTCTTGATTTTCTGATATTCACAGAGTTATACTCTCTCGTTTGTGTGTAAACAGGCATGAGGGAGCTGAATTGAAGCTGTGACCCGAATCATGTCATTTATCTAGCATTATTCACCCTTAAACACTTAAAACAATACAAGACAGCATTTGTTTCCAGGCTGAAGGTCAATGATGACAGTCAGGGGCGCCGCCAGGGATTTTGGGTCCCATCTCCAAGATATCACATTGGTTACTTAAAATTTTTTTTCTTAATGTTCTAAAATAGTTTGGGCCGCTGTCAGTCACGTGCCCTTAGAATCGCTTAACAGCCTGAGGCATTTATTCAAGGACAAAACAACACAAGCCAAAGATAAAAAAGTCAGAGTGTGCACGAGAGAGCTTGTGTCTGTGTGACTGTGTGAAACCTCACTTTAAACTTTAAGACATCCCACTTACAAAAATAAAGAGTGAATTTGTTTTCCTTTATACTAGATGAGGCATGACTTACTCCGGGAAAAAAGTGCATTCAATTGATGCTAATAAGCAACACAATGCCCTGAAGCTGTCTGGAAAGGACAAAGTAAACACGTTACAATGCTCTCCACTGCTTTAGGAGCACGGTTTGTTTTTCTAAGAGTCTGAGAGACATGACACTAATGTATAATTCCATAACAACACTTTGGCTGGTCTGAACCGCCGTGCGGAGGCGTTGTTTACGGTCTTTTTTTGTGAGTCTGGACACATTAAGCTTTGGTCCCTGCTGTTTGCTCATATAGTCGTGGTAGGTACACAGTCATCCACACCCTGTCTCCCCAAAGGCTAAAAAAAGCCGGCTGTGGTTCAAGACAGAAACCATGTGTGCTAGTTTGGCTCCGTCCTCTCCAACTCAAACCTGACAGCAGGACTGAGGAACCACTGTCTCTCTCTGCTGGTGTGAAGACACTAAAGTATATCTCATTTCCACCACTGAATCAAACGGATATCTTTATATTCCAGCAGCTGAATATGCCTTAAAACTTCTCCCTCTCTCTCTATTTCTCTAACTTTCTTTCTGGCGTGTGTAGCTAAAATGTGTCAGCAGCTTTTTAGTGCAGCCTTGACTAGGTTTTTCCATGGAGATGAGTAAGACACAATGTAAACCAGAGAAAAACAGAGAGACAGTTAAAGACGGAGACAAGTTAAAGTTATCTACGAGACACGTACGTCATTAGACAACAACAAACACTGAACAATTGAGACATTTAATGGAAGTGCAATAAAGATGATGAGGAATGAACTGAAAATAGTGAAAACCGTTTCAACAGGTGCATGTGTGGTAGAGGGTTTTGCCACAAACTGATTTCTATGCAGGGTCGGATCTAGAACAAATCAAATGGGGGGGGGCAATCATTTACCAAGGGGGGGCACACACTGCCATCAACAACCAACACACAAACACCAACGCAACTTCAATTTAAAAAAACATGCTGTAAAGTCTGTTGTCTTTCACACACATTGCAGGGATGTAGTGCTATTTTACAGCGCACCTATGATTTGTGCCTACATGCACGGTTGTGGCACGACCACCAAAACAGAAACATATGGACATCGGCCACCATATAAAAAGTGTGCAAATGTATTTAGTATCCTATCCATGCGAACATGTTTTAGGTGGGGGGTGGACCTAACCTCCTCCAGGAGGGTCTGGGGGCATGCTCCCCCGGGAAGATTTTTTTTAAAATATTGAAGTTAAATGCATCAATCTGATGCATTTTGAGAGCAAAATGAAGAGATCTATGGATAGCCTACACCTCTCA